CGTCTGCTTTCGTCTCCTCTTTCTGCCCCCACCCCCTCACCTCCTTTGCCCCCTCCTCTGGGCTCCTGACTCTTTCTGCTGCCTTTCTTACTTTCTACTAAATTCTACTGCTACTCCTTGACTCCTTCTTACAGCTGTCTTTCTGCCACACCCCTGATCTTCTGGTAGGAAAGATCTACACCTAGCCTTCTCGGACAAGGGCGAAAAATCTCGGAGGGCCCGTGTGCAAGTTGCGCTTGTTAAAAATCCCTTGGTGGTCTAAAATTGACAAGAGTAGGCTTCGGCCGCCACCCGGGCAAAACTCAAAATTTCCTACCAACTAAAAGTATTAGGTGTGTCCCGCGCGCTCATATGACCTTATGCAGTTTGCAAGTGGCCATTCTCTGGCGTCGTGCCAGACAATAGATCAGAAGCTATTCTCCGTCGACACGCCGCCAGTCTATTACTACTAATAATTTGTCGGCGCGAATTTGCAAACACCTCTCTCATCTGTTTGTCTTGGGAAAAAAATTCCTTCAACTTCACCATTTCGTGCCACTTCCATTGATACAAGAGATGATAGGTTTTTAGACACAAACTGCCCCAATTCCTCCAATTTAGAATTATGTTGGGTGCTAGAAGAAACGTTTTCACAACTATTGACGCGAGTTCATAACAAAGAGTGAGCTAGAAGGAGTCACATTTTCACTGTTTACAAAAATGGAGATACGACAAGAAAGCACTGAAGTCGTGAAATATCAGTTTAATTGATCGAAAATTACAACAAGAAATAAGTTAAACAGCAAGCTATACTATGACTAGACAGGATTTTAGACACAAAATCAATTTTGTTCTTTTAAACAAACAGAATCATTATTTTAAAATAAGCAAATGGACAACGGAAATTTATAAATGAATAAAAAAATTATATGTTAGACAATTACCTTAGATAAAATATAATGACAGGTAGACTTACAAGGCCTAGTTATGACGCCGGAGAATAGCTTCCGATCTATTGACCGGCGCGACGCCGGAGAAGAGCCACTTGCTTTTACTTTATATAGATCTAAATGCACCCACACACAGATGCATTGATTTGAGGGCTATACTGTCATAATTTTTGCTGTAGAACTCACGTATGGCCACTAAAACCCTTGCAAATCAATTGTTTTCAACTTGTACATCTATCCTAATTGCCAAAACATCAAATCATTTTGAGGGGCATTCTCCCTCAAAACCCCCAGCTTCTTTTAAGGTCAGCCCCCCTGAAACCCCCCATGTTGTTTTAAATTAAGTCAAATATTAGGCCTACTATTTTCAAACATCAATTCAATAACTATTGACCATGCGGCAAAAAATGAAGGCCATATTCGTGTTCAGCATTCAAATTACTACTAGAGTCTAGATATCTAGAAAAGAAGTCGTGAACATAAGATGGGTGCATGGGCATGAGTAAAAAAACCCTGTTGATACTAGAAGGAAGATGCAAGCTGCACACATGGCATCCTCAGGTGAAAGTGGAGCTTTTAAATGTTCAAATTGTGACAAACTTTTTTTGTGCCAGACTTGGTCTCATTGGCCACAGCAGAGAAGAAAGTTAAGTCTAAGTCATCTTTTAACCTTTAATTCTTCTCTAAGATCTATTTTGCTGGAGAAATATTTTATTTTCCTCTGTAGATGTATTGGTCGTCATCTGACACGGTAGTACAGTGGACACCACATATAACAGGCCAGGTAATAACAGGGATCCGGTAATAACAGGGATTTTTTAAATCCCCGTTTTTTCCTACTCTTTGTCTCTATTAAAAGTTATCGGCAATAACAGGGCCTCATCGGAGCCCAACCGGTTATAGCAGGGACAAAGGCTCGTTAACAATGTGTAAAAAGTAAGAGCGAGAGAGAGAGAGAGTAACGCAGTGATGGAGCAAGCCCTCGCAAGCCATGCCACTGCGAGCACTCGCAGCGTGTGAAGCGAGAGAGTGCTGCGGTGTGCTGCAGACCTCGATCTAGCCTGAAGAAACCTAGCAACACACACGCGTAATGTGTCACCAACGATGTCAAGCGCAAGAGAAAATGCATTTCAATTGACAAAAAAAAAACAACAAACAACCACGAAATAATCCAGGGTGTTGACAAAAAGCAAGCTCCACTGGCAGAGATTTGTCGTCAGTTCGACATTCCACAAGGGTCGATTCACACCATTATCAAGGATAGAGAGAAGATAGTGCAGCATACTCCAATGGAAAGTTTGCTCTGGATCGAAAGAAGATGAGACTGCCCGATGCAGATGCTGTGGACCAAGCTCTCCTGATGTGGTTTAAGGAGGCAAGGAGAAAGTCCGTGCCAAAACCCCTGTTCGTGGGTACTTGTGGCAAGGGAAACTACCCATGAAAAAGCACAGCTGGATTAGTCCACAAATACTTACTTTCCTAGCATTTCTGATATAACAGGGATCGGATATAACAGGACATTTTCTCTACTCCCACCATTCCTGTTATATCAGGTTTCCACTGTACGTGGTTTAAGTTTTTCTGGCACATTCTGGAAGAGGACTTTGTTATCCCAACAATCTGGAGCTGCGAGGGTTTTTGAAGGACTGTCTTGAATTGCTCCCTCCAACTGGCTGGCATATCTACAGTGGCCTTCTCATTCACCAATGCTAATGCCATGTCTCTTGTCACATTCCATTAGCTGTGGCCTCTCACTGGAAACAGATTTTCACTTTTCCATACCTATCCTGTTGGACAACAACATGGTCTGATAGAAAAACCAGATCACCGTCCAGTTCTTGAACTAGCCTGCGCACTGCGCACGAGTCACATCAGCTAGCAGAATGTGTAAAAAGTGGTGCAGCAGCATGCTGGCCACATTGTCTCCACCCTTTTTGCTGTCTCATAGCAGTACAGGTGTACTGTGTACTGTTTCATCACTTAGAGATTAGGTTTCCTCTCATGGATCGGGGATAAATAGACACCCCGTCTGTAGGAGGTGAAACCTCTCCAATGACAAAGTGTCACACATGGACCCCAACTCTCCGGGGTCTGAGTGCAAGGCCTACTTTTGTGTATCTTCCTCTTCTCCTTCCTTCTTTTTTCTGTTCTATTTCTTCTTCCACTGCTGACCTCATGTGGAGCAAGAGTAGAGGTCACCCATCCCCAAGAGTGGGTGCCTCATTGACTGTGAGGTGCGACCCGTGAGGAGGGAAACTAGGTACCTAGCGGTTGAGGTGAGATCAGTCTGCGGGCTGTCCCTCGCCATCATGCCTCTTTGGCCGGCGTTTTCCTCTTAGACGGGAGGGTGGCACGGCCTATGCCAGTCAATTGGTTGGGAGCTGAAACCCTTTCAGGTCCTATGTCAATTTTGACGGGAGCGTCTTGTACACTCTTGAAGTGTATAACTCCGGGGTAGCCCTGGCACAGCTCCGGCTATCCGAGCAGTGTGCCTCCTCGTTGAGCTCAATGGCGTGTGGGGAGCCCTGGAGCTGAACCATCTGAAAAACTCACCTGGAATCTAAAAACCCCAAAGGCTTTTCCCCAGCCCCCAACGTTTGCAAAAAGTCTCGGCTCGCGGAAGTGGATGCCGCTGCCGGGCTGAGCAAACAATCTACCTTTGCTACCTCTTATGTAGAAAGGAGGGAGCTTCCGTGGCAGCCGTACTTGTCCATACGCAGCACCGATGCGCAGAAAAAGATCACAGATCTCAACCTATTTAAAACGTAAAAAATGCATTAAGACAGGTTCTGGGGGGGATACATTCCTTCGAATGTCCAGAAACTGTACTCTGGTGCACTCCTTGTGAAATGCACATCGGAAACAGAACTGGCCGGACTTGAAAAGATAATGACCTTCGGGGGTGTTCCTTGTGTATCTGAGCGACACCAAAAGTTCCACCAGTTGAAGGGCGTAGTCCGCAGCCATGAGCTGAAGGGCTGCTCCAACGTGGAAATTGTGGGTAATTGCATGAGTGTGGTCGAAGCCTGCAGGATTACTCTTCGGCGGGGGGGAGACCACACTTGAATCGAATACAATTATTCCAACTTTCAATTCGTTCCGCCCTCCAGCCACCGTTCGGGCATCATACTTTGTCCTGGACGTGCGACCCTGTGTACCAAACCCTATGCGCTGTTTTCAATGTCAGAAGTTTGGCCATAGCCAGTCGCAATGCCAACGTGCTACTGTGTGTCCTCACTGTGGCATCCTGAGAAGGAATGCAAGGCTAGTCTTTGGGAGACTCATTGGAAAAAGCAAGTAAACAATAAACTTCACAACATTAAAACCAAACTGGGACCACGAAATTCTTCTGTTTTCCGTCCCTGATCCCAACAGAATTCTGGATTTTTATGTTTATGGGAAGTCGTGAATGAGATTGTTAATATTTTTTAATGTTATTTAAAAAGTTGTTTTAGAATAGTTTATTTACATCAAATTTTTAGTATTTTAGTAGAACTGTTGGTATTTTTTAAACTTTCCCTCCCGTCTCACACTTACCTACCAGTTGTCCATTATCTACTAAATTTTGATGCACTGAACACGAATATCAGCTTCATTTCCGTTGCAAATTAATAGTTTTTGAAATATTTGATTGTTCTTAGTTGAGATAGACATGCTTTGGACCAATCGGGGGGTTTCTTGGGGGGCCTGCTCTCCTGGGATAAAAGAACAGGCCCCCCTGTTTTAACCCATAAGGTGATATTTTACAGTTAGATTTGAAATTTGTCCTGAAAATAATGGCTTTATGTGTGATCTGCAGCAAACAGTACTGCAGTTTGACCCCCAAAGCAGTGCGTCTGTGTGCGGGAGTTAAAGTAAAAATGTACCGAACTGTTGACCGGAATCAGGCTGTGCAGTATACTGTTTTCGAATAGAACCAACCTTTATTGCCTGCTTATATGACCTTATATGCAGTTGCGAGCGTTGTAAAACTCTTACTAAAACCAAACAGCCTTCAGCAAAGATTGCCCGACTTGGATTCAAGAACGCGTTATCCAAGAGTACAAAGCGCGAAATGGCTGCTCTTTTCTAGAAGCCCGCAAAGCTGTCTGCCAGCCAGTCGCAACCCCGATCCCTGACCAGTCATATGTGAAGGCAGTCCGGCAAGTCATGAGACCGGCAGTGCCTCTACTGCCAACTTCCCAGAGCCCGTGGTCAACAGGCGAGTTTGTCCACAAAAGAAAAGGATTGCTACTATCAATGTGGCACCCACCTTTCAGGTGCCACTGTCTAACCGTTTTGGGGTTCTAGGGGAAGATGGGGTGGACTCTTCCTCCGCTCCCTTTTCTTCCCCTCCCCCCTCTTCTATCCCTTCTTCCTCACGCCCCACCCCTGTGAGTAGTCCCGTTCCCCCTCGCCCCAGCCCCCTCTGTCTGCTCCCCCCCCCCCCCCCCCAGCATTCGTCCCCTACCTATGAACGAGGACAACTCCAACCCCCCCTCCCCGGTCTGTCACAGGGAAGGGCGGAGCCCATCACTCCTCCCCCAAATCCCCGACTAGGCCACAGCCCAATCCAGGACGACAGTCTAGAAAACACTCTGCCTTCCCCGCAAGGAGGAGTGTGAATGCTTGGAAGCCGGGGCCTTTGTGCTCCCCCCCCAAAAAAAAATCCTGACACCATAAACAAATTCCAAAACAACGAAAAACTCATCAAACCCAACGGCCTCAGAGTCCTTGAGGACCTTAAAAACAGACAATTTTCCAAACAAGACTTCCAACAATTTATTTTCGCCGAACTCCCGCCTTGGCTCCTCACCAAGGCAAAAATAGACTTACAGCTGACCACTCACACCAAAGCAAGCTCAAACACCAAAATGTTTAAAGCAGAATAGAATACAAAAAAACTTATAGAAAAATACCACAGTGCGAAGCTAATCTTTACAGATGGCTCCAAATCGGACTCCGCTGTGGGCGCTGCTGCCCTTTCCTCAAACAGTATACACCAGAAGAGACTCCATCCCGAAGCCTCCATTCTCTGCGGAGGCCACTGACATTGACATGGCACTGGACTCAGTAGAAAATTCTCCTAACAAATCTTTCTTTGTCCTGTTGGACTCTCTGTCTTGCATTACCTCACTTACAAACTACACACTCTTACACCCAAAAATAGTTTGTTAGGTTTCAATAAAAAATACACGCTTTGGCTGAATCCGGGAAAAGTATTGTGTTCGCATGGCTACCTAGCCATGTGGGCATCCGGGGAAATGAGCAAGTGGATCTCCTGGCAAAGGAATCCTTGTCTCTTCTGTTGGGATCAATGACGAACACTCTCCCACAGACTGACATTTAAAAAAAAGTAAAAAACTACGCCTCCAGTCTGTGGGAGACTCATTGGAAAAAACAAGAAAATAGAAATTACACAACATCAAGCCCAAACTGGGTCTGCGAAAACCTTCAGACCTCTCCAGAAGAGATTAAGTCATTTTTACTCGATTACGCATCGGACACACGTCCCTGACACACAAATACCTCCTTCAGGGAGAACAGAAGCGGTTTTGTGTCGGATGCGACACAGGTTTTTACCATTAGACACAGAATATCTAGACTTCGGAGGGACCCGAAGGAAATATTTTAGATGCAAAAAAATGCAAGACCTGTTTTCCGTCGTTGATCTCAACAGAATTCTTGATTTTATAAAGGAATGGCCTTTTATAGAAAATTGTAAAGACATATATTTTGATAGAACCTTATTCTGGCCATAGGTGGCCTAAATATGCACCCCACATAAGGGTAGATGTGGCCTAAATGAGCACTCTCTTTAAAATATCAGCAATAGGTTTGTGTATACATTGTGGAAACAAGACAGGTCCAAGAACAAACCCCTGGGGAACACCAAATCTGAGTAAAACATTATCTGAAGAAGTGTTTCCAACCACAATTGCTTGTGTTCGATCTTGAAGATATTACTCAAATCATTGCATGACAGTAGGCCTACCATTTATACCAATAGAGTAGTATTTAGTCTCTCAAGTATTTATGTCATGATCAATGGTATCGAATGCAGCTGAAAGGTCCAAAAGATTTTAGAGGACACACCTTTCTTTCATCAATTCCTTTTAGAATATCAGTACAGACCATAAGTAACACTGTCTCGGTACTATAGTGTGTGCCTTGTATGCTGACTGATGAACTTCGCAAAGAATATTTGCTTTAATGTGCTGTAAGTTACTGTAAGAGTCTTATTGTTTTTGTTTTTAAGTCTTGTATCTTTTGATTTATTCTGTTCAAGGGAAGCGGATGGCTTTTCTTCCCCTCATGTTTCCAGTGAGCTCCCCATGGCTTAAGGATGATAGAAACTTATTTTCCAAAGTGATGGAACAGCTGCTGGAGGACGACTTTAGCAAGATTGTTATAGCAGGACCTGATCGTGCGTAAGAAATTCTTTCATGGTTTTCAGTGTTATAAACTACTATATAATCCGTTTATATCAACATTCTTTGGGCAGTGGATTTGATGTAAAATATAAAAGTTTAAAGGGGCTCTCGTGGCCTAGAGGTTAAGGTGTTGGCCTCTCATTCAAAGGTCCCGGGTTCAAATCCGGGTAGCGACCAAAAAATTGTCTTCTCTAAAATTGTCTCCTTTCACCTCCTTTCCTGCTCTCTAGCAATGTTCTGTTGTCTGCTTTCATTTCCACTTTCTGCCCCCACCCCCTCACCTCCTTTGCCCCTCCTCTGGGCTCCTGACTCTTTCTGCAGCCTTTCTACTGCTACTCCTTGGCTCCTCCTTACTGCTGTCTTTCTGCCACACCCCTGATCTTCTGGTAGGAAAGATCTACACCTAGCCTTCTTGGACAAGGGCGAAAAATCTCGGAGGGCCCGTGTGCAAGTTGCGCACGTTAAAGATCCCTTGGTGGTCTAAAATCGATAAGAGTAGGCTTCGGCCGCCACCCGGGCAAAATTCAAAATTTCCTACCAACTGAAAATATTAGGTGTGTCCCGCGCGCTCATATGACCTATGCAGTTGCGAGCGCCGTAAAACACTTTACAAAAACAAACAAAACAAAACAAAAGTTTAAAATAAATGTCGATAAATGAAATATACGGCCAAAGAGGAAAAAAACAAGGGGAGGTCACCGGTAAAAGACAACACTTCTTTTTAAAGCTGGTTGCTACCCTTGATTCTTGAAACTAACAAGAGGGGAGTGGGGGAGTAGGGGTGGAGTTACGGTAACCGAGACGGAGCAGCGTGAGGCGCACACTACACACCAGCGCTAACTTTGTTGTAGCATCCTTGTACGGCCTGTTTATAAGGCCGCTTGCTGGGGAAAATTGATAGGTGAGGCACTGACTTACTCTGACCGTGGCACTTGCCAGCGACGGACTGAGAATGGAATGGGGAAGGGGAGTGAGCGATCGGGAGTGAGGGTAGGGAGGTGATGCCCAGCGTGCGAGACACTCACGTTTGTGAGGCACTGTACTGTACATGTATTGGAGACTACTCTGTTTAGGCCCTACATGACCTACTAAAGCCTGATGTGTCGAATAGGCTACTGTACTTGGCGGATGTGCGGACTGAATGAAGAACTAATACATTGACCGTTATCATGGCTTTTTCCCCCTGGAAGCATGTCGAAAAAGCAGAGTGGGCCGAATAAAGTTGATATGAGAGCAATTGTTTAGTGAAGATATTAAAGGAAACATTTCGTAATTGGAAAATATGTCGATATGTCAAAATGTTGATACATTGGCTGTCGAAGTGGATTATACATGTACTGTACAGGATCCTAGGCGAACGGGATTTTAGCCAACACACCATGGGAGGAATCCATGGTGACTTATGTTCAGGCCTACAAGCGATAAAATGGTCTCCCTTTACTCTAAAATGTACTGACTTGACCCTTAGGCCTTAGGTTGGAGTATGACTTATGGTGAGCAAAGAGTGGCCATCCTTGATGATCAATCAAAATGTCATGAGGCATGCATTTTCACCTATTATCTTATCATTTGTCTCAAGATCTACGTGATTCTATTGCTCCTCCCCTTTACGTGTCCAGAATATATAGCTTTCCATCTCTCTAAGAGTTCCCCTGCCTCTGTTGTAACGCACCGTTGTGGTGTTACCAGACCCATTAAAATTCAGTCTCGGTCGCAAATTTGGGTGTAGAGACAACTGTTGCAATGGTCAGGGAAGCAAAAGCACAGATGAGTTCACAGTTCGATATGATATTTTTATGATCCTGTCTTAATATGGACTTGTAGGCCCTACCCCCCCCCCCCCCCCCAGCTTGTGTTGTTAGGTCAGAAGGAAAGCTTGGATACGAGTGCGATGTTTTGGGAGGGCAAACATTGTACCGTTTAATGGAGATTTACAACAGACATGTGATCACATTCTCGAGAAAGGCTGATCTTTGGTGCTACGGTCATGTTAAAGATAGCAAATTTTCACTCTTGGTTGATCAGCTGTGCCCGCCCGGGGTTTTGTTCCGTAAATTATGACATGGAATGCGGGATCTAAAGTGAACTGGGATCTAAACTGATGGGATCTTAGGTAAAGACTACTGTAGAAGGTTTAAAACATTTTATTAATTAATTGCATAATGCAAAATCTGTCAGTTTTGAATACATTCTTATGGACTCTTGTCTTGGAAAACTTTCTGGCAATTTTTGTTATTTATGCAAATTTCAAGACACTTAGGTCATTAGAGTACACCTAACTCTTACAATTTTTTTTAAAAGGTAGGCTACTTATCTATTGAATTTTGCATATTATATTTTGTATTCTAATTTTAGAAAATGTATATTGTGTCACTTGTGTTACCTGCCACTTTCTCTTCATTCAGAGACAAGACGGCCCTAGTGTTCCAAGCAGCGGTGAGCATGGCTTCCTCAGGGGGCATGGTCACTCACATTTGTACACACCCTTTAAAAAAGTTGCCACCTCCCGTGCATGGAATGATGGTGCCAGAACCTACTGTCATGAGGAATGTGGACTTTTTGTAAGTTCTGTTATAGCTCATGGGTAAAATTTAAGTAAACTCTATCCCCTCATTTGAAAATGCTTGACCTAGTGCTCATCATTTGGGGTCACAGAGGGATTTTGGCTTTACCTGAAAAAAATGACAAGCTATATATTCATTGCCATTGTGAATGGTGGTGGTTGGGGGTGGGGACTTTACTTGTACCGAGTCATGTTTGAAATCTTAGGTAAGAAATATCATAAGAAATAAACATTTAGCTGAATTAGGCTTTGAACTATGGGGAGTGCTTATTTGGGTTACATTTATCTAGTCCAAATAAGCTAAACCTTTCCCGCCTGTGGGTCGGGGGTATATAAATAGCCCACTACCCCGTGTGTAGGAGGTGTAACCCCTCCAATAACGAAGTGTCGCACACGGACCCCAACCCTCTGGGATCTGGATGCGACACCTACTTTCGTGTATCTTCCTCTTTTCCTTCCTTCTTTCTTACTTCTTCTATCTCTTCTTCCACCACCAAACCAACCTCATGTGGTGCAAAACTAGTGGTCACCCATCCCAGGGAGCGGGCACCTCGCTGACCGTGAGGTGCGACCCGTGCGGAGGGAAATTGGGTACCTGGCGGGTGAGTTCAGATCAGTCTGCGGACTGTCCCTCGCCAACACATCTCTTTGGCCCAGGTTGTCCTCTTAGACGGCCCTGGGTCAATTTTGACAGAGGATCTTGCACACTCTCGTGAAGAGTATAACCCCGGGGTAGTCCTGGCACAGCTCCGGCTATCCGAGCAATGTGCCCCCTTGTTGTGCTCGATAGCGGGTGGGGAACCCCAGAGCTGAAACATATACATATCTTATATGATGGAATCAAAAAACCCCAAAGACCCTTCCCCAGCTCCCAATGTAAAGAAGTCTCGGCTTGCCGAAGCGGGTACGGCCGCCGGGCCGAGCAAACCATCTATCTCATCTGGAAAAGGACCTTTACGGCAGAGTCTACCCTCCCTCTTCTCAGGCAGCTGTATTTGACCATTCGCAGCACTGATGTGCTTACGCATTGGACACACGTCCCTGACACATAAATAACCCCTTCAGGGGGATGAGAAGCCATTCTGTGTCGGATGTGACACAGATTTTTACCGTTATACACATTCTTACAGAATGATACACATTCTTACAGAATGTCTAGACTTCGGAGAGACCCGAAGGAAATATTTTGGATGCAAAAAATTGCAAGATCTGTTTTCCGTCGTTGATCCCAACAGAATTCTGGATTTTATAAAGGCCATTGGCCTTTATGGGAAGTTGTGAATGGTATTGTTAAAATTTTTTAATGTTATTTAGAAAGTTGTTTTAAATTAGTTTATTTACTTCAAATTTTTAGTATAGCATTTTAATAAAGGTGTTGACCAGAATCGGGCTGTGCAGTGTACTGTTGGGAACAGAACCAACCTTTTTCGCGTGCTCATATGACCTTATGCAGTTGCGAGCGCTGTAAAACTCTCACTAAGACAGATGGCTCTAAATCGGAATCCACTGTGGGCGCCGCTGCCCTATCCTCAAAAGCACACACCAGAGGAGACTCCATCCCGAAGCCTCCAATTTCCCTGTGAAGACCACTGGACTCCGTAGAAAATTCTCCTAACAAATCTTTCCTTATGCTATCTGACTCTCTGTCTTGCGTCACCTCACTTACAAACTACACACTCTTACACCCAAAAATAGTTACGTTACTACAAAGAATACACGCTTTAGCTGCAACCGGGAAAAGTATCGTATTCGCATGGCTACCTAGCCATGTGGGCATCCGAGAAAAAGAGCAAGTAGACCTCCTGGCGAAGGAATCCTTGTCCTTTCTGTTGGGATCAACAACGAACACTCTTTCACAGACTGACTTTAGAAATAGAGTAAAAAACTACACCTCCAGTCTGTTGGCAACTCATTGGAAAAAACAAGAAAACAATAGATTACACAACATCAAGCCCAAACTGGCCTCTCCAGAAGAGACAAAGTCATTTTTACTCGATTACACATCGGACACATGTCCCTGACACATAAATACCTCCTTCAGGGAGATGAGAAGCCGTTTTGTGTCGGATGTGACACAGATTTCACCATTGACACATTGTAACAGAATGTCTAGACCGGAGAGATCTGAAGGAAATATTTTAGATGCAAAAAAATTGCAAGACCTGTTTTCCGTCGTTGATCCCAACCGAATCCTGATGTGGTGTGGCTTAAGATAACACACTGCATGGTGTGTGCCCCATCTCTCTCACCAATCTGTCTTTCCTGCGGTAACTTGGCATCAACTGTCCCTGTGCTAGTCTATCTCATTGAGAATCTAGATTCTTGTTTTGTCACAGAGGCTTCACAGCTAGAATTAATTGCATTGAGCTCACAATAGGGGCTTTCTATTCATGTTGGAAATCAGTGCTGTCATTGTTTCTTCAGGTACCTTGAGAATGTGAAGAATCTAGTCCAATGGTGTGCTGACATACACACTAAAGCGGAGCTTCCAAGCCTGATTGTAGTGGAAGACATCCTTACATATGCCTGCCAGATTGATGTACGTGGTGAATTTCGATTTTAAGTTTTTCTTTGTTGGGTTATTCTTTTCCTCTCTATGTGCAGGTGACAGTAGTTCTGTTGATTTTTGACATACCAGTTTGCAGGGTTGTGAAGTTCAAATGCAAAAACAGTAGCACATAATCTGCAGTTTGCAGGGTTGTGAAGTTCAAATCCAAAAACAGTAGCACATAATCTGAAATGTTGGGGCTTCCGAGAGAATTTTGATGGGGGCTAACCGAGCAAACATAAATATCTGGCATCATGGTGACTCCAGGCACTCATCAAAGTAATGAAATCGAAGAAACTGAAATTTTCCCAAGAGTCTGGAAATTGTTTTGTGGTTTTGGGCTAAACAAATATGTCCATTGAAAGATACATTCCTGCATGTACTTTACTGAAAAACATTGATCAAGTGGGTGGTTGGCGGGAGCTCTGGTGTGGTTTGCTCCTTCTTTCCTGTAAAAATTCTATCGTCTCTATCTTCCCTCCATCTTTTTTATGTTTGTTACTCTCTTGTAACACCTCTAATCTTCGGCACTTATATGACCTTATTGTGTTGCAAGTGCCGTAAAACTCTTACTAAAACAAACAAACATTGATCAAAGGCACACAAAACTTTAATTTACGGTTCCATAGACACTACAGCTTTGGATGTCACCACCTAACTTTGGGGACCATTTTCTCACTAATTTTAACTGTGACACAATTTGACCCCCACCTCCTTCATTTGCAAATATCTCAATTTCTGTTGGAGATAAATGGTATTTTTTTTCATCAGAAGCTAGGCAAATAAATAGGCTTTAAGATTATATCAATAACTCCAAATCCCTAAAATTGATGAGTGCCAGATTCCCCTGTGTCGCTACTCAAGTGTGTACTCATCCTTTTGCATAAAGTTCTTTCTCCTCCATCTCACCTTTCATCGTTGTCCCTAAATACCTATGCTACAATCCAAAGCTGAGAACTGGGTGGTTGGCGGGTGCTCTGGTGTGGTTTGCTTCTTCTTTCCTATCAAACTTCTATCATCCTTATCTCTCCTCCTTTTTTGTGTTTGTTACTCTCTTGTAACACCTCTAGTCTTTGGCATTTATATGACCTTATTGTGTTGCAAGTGCCGTAAAACACTTACTAAAACTAAAAGCTGAGAAGAGAATTGCTTATGTTCAGATACAATAAAAGTTGGAGTGAGCATTATAAATTATACGAAGACAATCACTCCTAAAACAAATTTCTGACCACATTTTCTAGGTATGCTCTCAAATTTTCATCCAGGTGTCCTTTGCTTCATTTTGTTTCTCCCTACACATATCAATGTGTTTTTAATCCCTCCAATACCATTCGGAAAAATTTTTTACACATCTTGAGTTAACTTAATTTTGGGGTACAAACGCTTTACATTGAAAGGGTTATGACCCTTTTGTAGGTTTACTTCACTGACCTCTGACTACGTTTCACAACCACCACAAACATTATTCTGAATTGTGCTGCACAAGGCAAAGCTTTCTGTTTGGTCTTTCCCATTTTTTCCCCATGTTTTTTATAAGTAAGATACCTTCACTAGGAACAGTAAGAGAAAGTCACTGATATCAGAATTGGACTTTTGTTTATAACCGGATTTCACTTTGTGTGAGTGAGTGTATGTGTGTGTGTGTGTGTGTGTGAGTGAGTGTATGTGTGTGTGTCTGTGTGTGTGTGTGTGTGTGTGTGTGTGTGTGTGTGTGTGTGTGTATGTGTATGTGTGTGTGTGAAGTTTAAACTGGCTTTTGGGTCAGTTTTCTGTGCAGTTGACACAACAATTTAGGCTTGTAAGACTAGAATCTTCCACTTTTGTTGCTGAGTGTTTGTGCGACTGATGTCTCTCTTCTGGTCTCACTGCTTTTAAAAGTGCCCTTTGTAGTGTCATGCTAGATGTGTATTGAGGAATAATGGTCTTACCATTTCAAGTTTAGCTGGGTAACGAGAGGCTGTAACTCATTTCTCCCAACTCAACTTTTCTCTTTCCAGTCTTAAATTAATTTTAGTCCTTCGTCTCCTATTTTCTAGCCCCCTGTAGGTTAGGGGCTAATAAATAAACCCAGTGCTCCGCCAGCATGAGGTGCAACCCCTCCAATGGTGAAATGTCGCCCTTGAACATCAACACTCAGGTGTGCATGCGAGACATTTACTTTTGTGTATCGTCTGTCTTCTGAATTTTTTTGTTCCTCCTTTCTGCCTTCCCCGAGCTGACCGGGGAATTAAACAAAAATAGTTGGCTGTCCCATCAACAGGGGGTGCAACTCTCCCCACGGTTAGGATGCCACTCGTACGTCACTAGTTCATGGCATCCTCTGTCCATTCTTGCTATGTCTTCTTCCCCACTTTCTTTCTGATCTGTCAACTGGAGGTCTGATCTTGCCAAAAATGGACCCTGAATCCCCACTATGGGATGCAACCCGTACTAGTACTAGTTGAGGTGAGACTTCCCTCACCAACACAGCACTTTGTCCCTGGATTCAGTCTAGACGGGCCAGTATAATGACCTACTACACACAATCAGTTATGACCGGTTTGTAAAACTGGTTTTTGAGGAATCTTGGTTAGGAGGCAAGATTTCTTGCTGTTTATTTTTTAAAAATTGGGAATATACCTTCCCGGTAGCCCTAAACACGATAATAGTAGACTTCGGCCGCCACCCAAGCATATTTAAAAAATAATTCCTACCAAACTAAAAATGTTGATTGTGTTCCACTCGCTCATATGGCCTTATGCAGTTGTGATCGCAGTAAAAAAACACTTACCAAAACAAAAAGTAAAACAGAAAAACCCTGAAAAAATACATTCTGGTTCCCTGAAAACTGCTAAAAAATCAGCTCTCAGAAAGTTGGTCAACTCGAAAAAACAAATGAAGACCTCAAATTGCACGAGCCCAAGCACGAAGAACAATCAGAATAGCCTCCAGCAATTGAATTTGCTTTTTGGCGGTCTGAGAATGAGCATATTATATTGTGAAGCGTGCTGACAAAATGAGTTACTTCTCGGATTTAGAAAAGACAGGTTATAGTTAAAAGAATATATGACATCAACAGAAAAATCTACAGTAGTCTCCGCCTAAACGCACGCCATACGAAAGCATGCTCCGCTCGAACGCATGCTTTCGTCCTCTGGCGATTTTTTAAACTATATAATTTAGATGTACAAACGCACGGTCACTCCCCCTAAACGCACGCTCCAATCTGCGAAACACGCTGACAGGTAAAGCTTGACTAAGGGAAATTTCACTACGACTACTGTACGATCTGCATAGCTTGCTTAAAACAAGCCTAGAAAACCGGATATTTTGCGAGACTGCCCCTTACGCCGAACAAAGAGAGTGATGGACAGCATTTTCACACACAACTTTCCAGACACATAGGTCTAGGACTGGTTGGTGATATGTTGGGGGGTTGGGGGACTGAAACGTTATTTGATTGGTCACTGGAAATGCATCTCTTTGAGAGAAGGTCTCTGACTGGTGTTTGAGTGACTGCGTGTTGGCTAATGTTTAGTTAGACCTAAGCCTATGATGCGCAACACGCAATTTACGGTCGAGGGTGGTCGCTTGGAAAGCCACGTGGCTGGGCCGTCATCTCTATGACTATCACCAACAATTTCTTTTTAGGCTATTGGTTCCCGACATTTTATGGTGCATTCATTACATCGAGTCTGTCTTTCTGCCCCTCCCCCCAAAAAAAACAAAAAAACATACCAATTCAACGCCTTTGCAGTCTTATCCGCAGTCGGGGAATCTTTTACAAAACAGTCACGTGTCGTCACATTATCGGCCCAAAGTGACCCCCACCCTAAAGGGAGGTCACTAGCATATCAAGTCAAGGTAATGAGATGACTGCATCCCTTCCTCCCTTTGCTAAGGTTCATGTAAACGCACGCTCCGTATAAACACTCGCTAAGGAGCCCTCCCGAGTACCGTGCGTTTAGGCGGAGACTTCTGTACAAATTTGACCCTAATGTCGATTTTTGGCCAATATCTCCATTTATTTTTGATTGCGAGAAGTAACTTATTTTGTCAGCATGCCTCACAATTAAAAAAATTCATGAAAATGATTTTTGACCTTTTTTTTAACAATGAAGGGCAAGATGTCTGCGTTAACGATGTTGACAGTCTTATGGATGTGATGCTGTGAGTGATGAATATCAGGAACTTTTTCAACAAGATATTGCAGCTGTGGGAAGCACCATCAGGGCAATTGGAAGGATAATATGTTAGCAGATAGTTGGATAGTTGCGAGAAATGTACCAGAACTTGAGTACAAGAGGTAGATCCTGAAACAATTAGGTAACTATGTATGAAGTGACCCCCATTTTTCTTTAGTTCTTATTTGTTATTTTGGTAAAATATGGAAATCTGAATATCTTGAAAACTAGACCTAAACATAACAGCATCCCAAAATCCACTCGGAAGTGATGTTTGAGCCCTGAAGCAGACACTTTTTGACAATTTGTAGACCAGTGAAATATGAATCAATAGTGCTGTATCCTATTTTCCCCCCATCACTAAACGGACATTTAATCCGTAAGCTTCTGTTTTTGTTTGGTGAATGATGAAGTTTCTTTCATACGTTGGTGTCATCTGCTCCTTTCATTTTTTTTATTTGTTGCTTTTGTCCTCATTCATTCTTTATGAACTGTTATTCTAACACATGTCAATGGCTTCTACTGGTGAACAACCAATGTATGTACTCTGTTGTTCTTTTAGGAGATGAACATTGAGCGGAGTCTGGCCCGACTCTGTGCCACAATATCAGACTCTGTCAGCTGGGTGGCTCAAAACAAGTGAGTTTCTATTTTTGACAAAATTTCATATCGATCTATCTGTCCTCAGAGAAATTCGCGCGGGCAACCCCAAAGTTGCGCACACAACTTTTGGCCTCAGCACCACTTTTGCCATTTTCGTGAATTCACAAATTTTAGGCAATTTTCTGCAAAAGTTGGGAAAATCATATTTTCTTCCACAACTAAAAATAACGACGCGAAGGGGGACAATTCGTAGGCCTACCTGAACTTAGATCTACCACTTCCTTTGCACTTCGGGGTGCCCAGTGCCCGTTGTGGATGAGATCGGGTCGGGATGATCGCCTGACTCGTTGCCTGAAAACAATGCATTTTTTTTTTAGGCAATGAGTCGGGCGCGATCGATTTGTCTGAACCGAAGTAAAATTATTATACTTTTGTCACGTGAAAAAATAACGAGGAAAATAATTTATGACAACATAAATTTTTAAAAACAAAACATGACGTAAAAAAGAGTAAACTCTGCTATTCGCTTAGAAGTTTTTCCGGAAAAGTTCCGTTTATACCATATTTAATTATTATGTCACATGTGTGTATGCATGTTTTTCATGAATACTATTATGTAAAAGTAAAGTGCATAGACCAATGATTGTAACACAGATTTGCGCAATATAAATGTCAGATTATTATAAGCGAATAAATATTAGTATTACTGGATTTGGGGGTGGAGGAGAGGTGGAAAATGTAAGAAAAGTGGGGGGGGGGGGGGGGGGGGGGCAAAATCCCCCAAAAGGTGTAAGATTATATTTGAACAGCCCCAAAACCACACTGGTCACACTTGCCCAATGTCAGTGGGAGTTTAAGTTTAAAGATCTGACACATGTGCACCATGCAACTTCCATGCAGTTGGGTTTTTTTTGGTACGGTAACTTTTGATTTTAATCTAAAAAAACTCATGTTGGTTTCTTTGATTGCAATGAGCATATATCTACCAACAACGTATTCCTATAATTCCATGACATTTTTAGCTGTACATGTCTTGCAACTTTTGTTGATTTTTCTTGCAACTTTTTGCAACTTTTGCTATTTTCAAATGCAACTTTCTCTGAGGACAGATATTAAAACACAGCCTCTCCTTTTGTACCCCAGACCTAATCCCTTCAATCTCGAGTGGTCTGTGCTGGATGACCCAATTCTCTTAAAAAAACAATAGCCTCCAAAACGACCCGATCCCAGAACGCTTTAACTTCAAAAAAGCGCACTTGGAGGGGTTCGCCATTGAATGTTCTCAGATTCTAAATCCCACTTTCAACCTCAACTACAAAAAATTCCATGAAACGCTTCTAGATATATGCCACTAACACGTACCAAAAACATCTCCAAAACCCAGGAAAAACAAGATCTGGTTCTCTGGGGAATGTGATGATGCAGTTAAGAAAAGAAAGCAGCTTATCGAAGAGCCTTCGACAACAACACCATGGAAAACAAAATTAATTACTTTATAGCTCAAGCTGGGGCACGTAGATGCCTCAAGGAGAGCAAAAGATAATCGTTCAGAAAATACATCTCCAAAATCAAGAGTCAGACACCACTCAGCCAAGATTTTGAAATCGCAAAAAAATTTTGGGAAGACGCACAGACACCATCCGGCAAGTTCAGAGGCCGGATGGAACCACAGCTGAAACACAAGTAGACATCAAACACAATAGCTGCATCTCTTTCCAAAAACTCCTCCAAAGCAAATTTCACCACCTTTGAAAACATCAAAACTAACAGAACAACACCACCTGAACTTCCACTCAAAGAACACTGAAACCAACAATGCAGGCTTCACTTTAGACGAACTTTAGAGAACATCATGCATCTTGGATCTAGGCAATACAGCCCCGGTGCCGGATGACATCCACAGCCAGATCTTTAGACTTTTCTCCACAGACACACTTACACTCCTACTAGACATATACAACGACCTGTGGCGGTCGCTCCCCTTTCCAGAGTCTTGGCGTCTCGCCACTGTCATTCCAATACCCAAACAGGCTAACAAACAGACCACACACACCCATCCAATTACAGACCAATAGCACTAATGAGCTGTCTGTGCAAACTTATAGAAAAAATGATTCACTGGAGACGACGGGCTCGCTGAGCGGTCTTCAGTGCAGATTTAGGAAATCCTGGAAAACACGGTCCACTCTGGATCACCTGGTCCACCTGGAGACTTTTATACGCGAGACGTTTGCCGAAGGAGGCCATGTGATGGCCATCTTTTTTTACCTAGAAAAAGCCTTTGACCCAACCTGGAAGTACGGCATTCTCAGAGACCTGCACGCTCTCTGCATACGCGGTCACTTCCCTGCCTTCGTTGGCAATTTCCTGAAGAACCGTTCCTTCCAGGTTCGTGTCGGATCCTGCCTTTCAGACCCCCACCAACAGGAGGAAGGTGTCCCCCAGGGAAGCATCCTTTCTCCTCTCCTATTCGAAATCAAAATAGTTTGTTAAGACTCTCCAAAATACATGGGTCTCAATAGTCCGCTATTTAGCGGATTTCCGCTACCGCCATCCCCTCCGCTAAACTCCGTTACTGCCGCGACAGCGGGCCAATCAGAAAGAGAGTTATTGGGAGCAGGGTGACTGTCAGGCCCCGAGAATTTTTTTTAAAAATCGCATAGGTCCGGGAAAATGCATAAAAGATCTCAAATATTTGAAAACCATTTCCAATAACGTCTTCAAGTTCATTTCTGCCGGTCACGATTGTGATATTAATAATTAATTCGGCTCTGAGAGTACGTTTTACGCTAATTGGCGGCTTTGGCGGCAAGCAGAATTGTGTCACCAAGGCTCGACTGACTGGAAAATCAAGGTCTACTTTCGCTGTCGTTACCACCCAGAAATTTGTCAGTAATTGTCTAATAACGCAACATTCATTGTAACATGCAGGCTTGGCATTACAAACGTGGTGTCGCCATGAAAATAAATCAATACCGGTATTTGTCACTGTGCTGTCACTTGTGGGGGCAACAAAAAAAAAAGAAAAGAAAGTTATACAAGCGTCTTGTTGGGCTCGCTTTTGTGACCGGTCAATGAACCTGCGCGCGTTCTGAGCGCTGCGAAGTACATGTACAGGTAAGGGGGGAGATTATTGATTTTTTAAAAAGACGCACTCGGGGATAGGGGGAGGGCTGGATGCAACACCAGAGGACAAAAAATCTGAAACTGGAAATAAATGTTTAATGTAGAATCTAGTATAGAATTTTGATTACTACATCAGCTCTCTGCAAACTGCAAAGTAAATTGTGCGTTGTTGCAGGCCTTGTGTGAAATCGGGAGCCGTCATAACTTGTAAGCGTGTTATGGAACATAAGGGTCTAAGTGTTCGCGTTTCATTGGGTTGGTGACATTAAATTAGATCTCCATATTTTAGCTTTCTGTTCAAGATTCGCAGATTTTCAGTATCACTATCACTGCATCTTGCCCTCCCACAGTTCTTACACCTCTCGCACTGAATATGTCTACTTGGGTTATTCTACGTGTACTCTACTTTGAGTTTGAGTATTAATTTTTGTCATTCACATTTATTATATAGGCCTATATATATATATAACATGAATCATGACAGTCGATGTTCTGATTTAAACAGGCGAATATGATGAAAGGAAAATGTAAATAAGTCGCACTAGACCCCAGGCGCCACCACTTTCTGTACGTAATCAAGATTGTAAATATTTAAAATTTGGTACGTGACTCTTACTTGAAATTGTCTCCCAAACTCTCAAATTGGTGTGAAATAACATTGCTTTGATAAATTGATGGTTTTTATTTCAGCATTCTAGGGTTCAACAGTATAATAATAATGGGTGTTTCCCGAAAATGGGCTTCTGTGGCGATCACCCGGAAAGTTCCTCCTTTTTTAGAATTCTGAGTTGAGACCCATGAAAATAGCATAGACAGCTCGTTATACGTTGATGACTTCTTGATATGTTGTCGTTCGAAAAATCCTCAACTAAGATCTATGGAAAGGCACCTTCAAACGCAGCTGCACAAACTTGAAAAGTGGGCAAATAATAATGGCTTCAAGTTTTCCCCATCAAAGACTGTCACAGTACACTTCTGCCGATCAGGCAGAGGTGTGCTGCTACCGAATTTGACACCATACGGGGAAAGCATTCCCGTCCAGGACCAGGCTCATTTCCTCGGCATTATAGTATATTTGTCAAGAAACTCACATTCATTCCGCACATAAAAGACCTGCGTGTGAGGTGCCAGAAAGCGTTAAACTCTTTGAAAATGTTATCGCATCCGGAGTGGGGTGGGGACTCTGAACACCTTCTCCACCTATACATTTTCTTCGTCCGATACAGGCTTGACTACAACTGTCAGGTCTATGGATCGGCAAAACCCAGCATTCTAAGGATGCTATACCCTGTACAAAACCAAAGACTCCGCCTCGCCCTGGGGGCTTTCCGCACTTCTCCAGTGGAGAGCCTCCAGGCCGAGGCAAACATACCATCACTCACACTAAGACGCTCACAACTCTCACTACAATAGGCTATTGAAATTGAGTAAAGCTTAACACCAGAGAATCCAGCACCCAACTGTATTTTCTGAACCAGCCCAGACACCATAAACAAATTCCAAAACAACGAAAAACTCATCAAACCCTTCGGCCTCAGAGTCCTTGAGGACTTTAAAAACAGATAATTTTCCAAACAAGACATCCAACAATTTCTTTCCCCGAACTCCCTCCGAGGCACCTCGCCAAGGCGAAAATAGAGTTACAGCTTACCATACACACCAAAGTAAGTACAAACACCAAAACATTTAAAGCAGAATACAAAAAACTTATAGAAAAATACCCCAGTGCGGAGCTGATCTTCACAGATGGCTCCAAATCGGACTCCGCTGCGGGCGCCGCTGCCCTGTCCTTAAACAGTACACACCAGAAGAGACTCCATCCCGAAGCTCCCATTTTCTCTGCGGAGGCCACTGCTATTGACATGGCATTGTACTTCGTAGAAAATTTTGCTAACAAATCTTTTCTTATCCTGTCTAACTTGCATCACGTCACCTACATACTACACTCTTATGCCCAAAAATAGTTAGGTTACAACAAAAAATACATTCTTTGGCTGAAACCGGGAAAAATATCGTGTTTGTATGGCTACCTAGACATGTGGGCATCTGAGAAAACGAGCAAGTGGGCCTCCTGGCGAAAGAGTCCTTATCCCTTCTGTTGGGATCAACGATGGACACTCCTCCACAGACTGACTTTAAAAATAAATAAAAAACTACACCTCCAGTCTGTGGGAGACTCATTGGAATAAACAAGAAAACAATAAACTACGCAACATCAAGCCCAAACTGGGTCCGTGAAAACCTTCAGGCCTCTCCAGAAGAGACGAAGTCATTTTTACTCGATTAGGCATGGGACACACAAATACCTCCTTCAGAGAGAAAAGAAGCCACGACACAGATTTTATCCTTAGACACATTTTAACAGAATGTCTAGACTTCGGAAAGACCGGAAGGAAATATTTTAGAGATGAAAAAAAATTGCAAGATCTGTTTTCCTTCTTTGATCCCATCAGAATCCTTGATTTTATAAAGGCCATTGGCCTTATGAAAAATTGTAAATAACATTGTTTTTAAAATTTGTAATGTCATTAAAAAAATTATTTTAAATTAAAAATGTATTTACATCAAATTTTTAGTATTGTGGCACTTTAGTAAAGGTGTTGACCAGAATCAGACTCAGTCTGAGACTGTGCAGTGAACTATTGGGAATGGAACCAACTTTTTTCAGCGTGCTCATATGACATGCAGTTGCGAGTGCCATAAATCTCTCACTAAAACAAAAACAAAAAGATGTTTTTGCACACTCTTTGTGTCAATGTGCAAATGAGTTTCTGTCGTTTTCACGATGACATACTTAAATTCTTTTTCCTATGTTTGTAAAATAAAAATTAAGCTTGTACCCTGCATTGTTATCAACAACATCACAAAGTTTTGGCTTTATAGGATAATAATTTTTCTATCTACAGACCTCCGAAATTGACCTTTTTTGATGTGGCAAACAAAAATTCTTCACTGAAAAGCTATTTTCATATAATTTTATGGATTTACAGAATCTGAATTATATACCCGAGGATTTCTTAAGTCTTTGTATGCCTCAATATTGTCCTTAACCTCAAAAAGACTGAGTATGTATGTGCATTGTCCTTACATGATTGTATGACTGTTCGAAGTCCTGCTTTTTTATCGATGTGCATGCTGTGTGAAATTCTCTAAGTTTTGAATAAATTTAAACCTTGATAACTTGTAACTTGAAAAATTTAATGTCTGATTTCACCCCCCCGGGAGGTGCCACTGACTGAAGTGTCTTCAGGCCATTCCCAAAGGGGGGACATTTCTCGTTCTCCCAAAGGGGGGACATTTCTCGTTCAAGCATAGTAGAATTGTAAATGGGCTGACTCTTGTCACGCTCATAACTGTGCCTGATCTACACAGGGAACTGCTGCTTTTTCTTTCCTGATCCTTACTATTGTCATTTTCCTCTACTTCTTTTGTATGTTTGTCACTTTCTTGTGACCTGCTGTTTTGGGGTGCCTTGATAGTCGAAGCAGACCTTGTGCTGTTGAAGCTAGAGAGGTGAGCAGTCTGATTCCCTGTAAAGACTTCTCTGTTGACACCCACCCCTTGGCCCTCATATGACCTTATGCACTTGCGAGCGCCGTAAAACCCTCTACTATAACAAAAAAGTCTGATTTTAATGAATTAAAGGTGAATTTCATCATTTCTACAGCTCTTTGTAATCCTATTAAGAAAATGTACTTTCAGACAATTTGAATTTTTTCTTTGTTGGTCTACTCTTATGATTCTTTATGTCATTGCTAAGTGTTCGTCAGTGTCATGGCACTGATAGTACCCCTGTGCACTGTATAATATGCTGAGGGTGCAGAGAATGATGTTTTAGAATAGAAGTTACATGGAGACCTGGCATAAACATTTTGGATCCACATTAGGTCATGGTAAAGTTTTATGTCTAAAAACTTTATATATTGGTTTATTTCAGCAAACTGAGGAGCTGCCTGGTCATACTGACTGCCCCTGCCAGGCTGACTTCCCTTGAGCATGTGCTGACTCAGCTTGACTTTCGAGTGGCCACGTACCAAGGTAGGGATGGGGAAAGAACTGCACCAATCTCACTATCAAAGAGGTTATAAAGAGTACTAGAGCTCGCAGCAGTGACATCATTCACGTAATATATGTAGGTAGCGTAAACACGGCCTCGCCGGCACTCACGGCTTCCGAGCGCGTGGTATCGGTGAAATCGGGGTAATTCCGATCGCTGTTTCTTTGCTCTTTCGCTATAAAACACCAAATGCCGTACACCTTGTAAAAGTTCAGCTTTTCCTCTTTACAATGGTGTAATTTGTATATATGTCCGATTATTAGGAGCTGGAGAATCGCAGAAGAAAATGAAACCCCTCGCGGTCGGAATGCGTGATCGGCTAGTTAAAAAATTAGACATGCGTGCATTCAAATGCTTCGCGGAACGAGGGATGATTATATACGAGGGCTGTCCCACGGAAAATGGGAATTTAGCTGTAATTTGAAAACTATTCCATATTTTCACATTCTGTAAACGCACACTTTTAAAACAATCATTTAGAAATTTCCCAAATTGAGCACCATGAGCATCACACTAACTAAACGAACACAGCAGTTCTCAAAACATGGCTGCCCCCTTGGAAAATTGGTCAAGGGTAGAAGTGAGGTCTGTCATTCGGTTTCTGACCGTAAAAGGTATCAAACCTATAAAAATACACACTGAAATAAAGCCAGTTGACGGGGAGAAAGTAATGGCAAAGTCGCAGGTATATTATGAGTGGTGTAGTAAATTCAAATCCGGGCATACGGATGTCAATGACAAAGTTCACCCAGGACCTTGTTTTTCTGCCAAGACTGAGGACAATAAGAGTCGCGTTAATGAACTCACTCATACAGAAAGGTGCCTAAAAAATCGCGAAATTTCCGAGTCGCTAAACATTTCAAAGTCGACTGTCCATAGGATAGTGTTTGATGAGCTGCACTATCGAAAGGACTCTGCTCGATGGGTCCCAAAAGAGCTGATAGCTGACCACATGACGCAACGTGTTGAAGTGTCTCAGACTTTGTTGAATCGTTGTCGCCAAGCTGTCATGGGAGTCATGAACGCACCTGGAGACCTCCAACAATATGATAAAGATTTCCTGAGAAGCATTATTACAGGTGAAGAAACTCATGGCCACGGTTTTCTGGGATCCTATGGGTGTTCTGGTTCTTGACAGTCTAGAACCAGGACAAACTGTTAATGTTAACAGATACTGCCAGAATCGTCATAAGTTGAGAGAGGTTGTGTGCTGAAAAAGACAGGCCGGTTGTCCAGCGGGGTCATTTTGCAGCATGACAACGCAACGCCACACCACACACCGCAAACGCTACGACAGACTGAATCCAAAGGTTTGGCTGGGAAGTTCTGCCACACCCCCCTCGCAGTCCTGGCTTGGCCCCGTCAGTTTTTCACCTTTCTGGACCAAAGAAACGCCATATTTCTGGACAGCAATTTTCCGACGACGAAGACCTCGTGGAAGCTGTGACAGATTGGTTGAAATCCCTTGACGAAAAATTCTTCAGGGCGAGTATCTTCTCCCTGATCCAGTGTTGGATAAAATGCATCCAGCGGGAAGGTGATTACATTGAGAAATAAAGCACATGTTGAGGTATGATGTGTAACATTTTTATTAAAATAGGACAAAGATTGTTGATTTTATGGACCTTTTCCGGTTTTCCGTGGGACAGCCCTCGTACCATCTTTTCACTGGCGGAGAAGTGTAGAGCTTTAAATGGACTTTCCTGTAGTATAATTTAGGCCTTTGGCATTTAAATAGAAAGCCTTTAAAAATACAGTCAAAATTTTCAAAGCTCTTTTTTTACACGAAATATATGCAAAATACCGGCTCAAAAAAGGTATTACTTTAAAGATCAGTTTATTGCCTATTAGAAAAAAGTAATCAGCTTGGAACTATTTTGCATCAATCCTTCAGCTAGGCTCGGAAAGCATGTGACCCCCCACCCGGGGTACACTATAGTATAGAGCTGACTCGCTCGCCGCGGGGGCCGGTGCGGCGCCGGCCGGGTCAATGCTCGGTGCTTTTGTCGAAATAACGACAGATCATCGTGTTTGAGGCAATAAAATACTGATTTTTCATGATCTCACAGTCTTGAAATTAGGCACCATATATTTGTTATAGTGATTGTACTCTGTTAATTTGGAGACATTTAGTGCACTTGGTACTCTTTTATTATCTGTCAAACATGGGGTTGCAGCCAGTGACTGACTTTAACAAATGTGATTAAATTTTAAACAACTACCGTTTTCTTAAAAATTGACTGAGAGGTTAAAGAATGGTACCAAAATGCTCAGTGGATATAAAGCCTTTCAAATGGAACAGATAAATTTGGTATACAGGTACTTTGAAAATTTAGTTTCTGATACCTAATATATGCAGGGTGATGCGAAAAAAACTTTTCAAAAAATATTTTCGTTCAACACTGAAGCTTTGCGTTTCAGATTTGAACACAATATTTTGGAATCAAAAGGAATTTGACTGATATTCATTTCAGAATGGTTTTGCTCTATTTGGCGCTAAAAATAAAACCAATGCATTTTTAACAGTGTTCCCCCCTTTTTTGTACATGTAGCATGATGCAACAGTTTGCATTAGGGCTATCACTGAAAGTGAATGTCGCAACGATCGTGCCATATTGCTAGCTACAGCGTGACCAAGATTTATAGAATGAGGAAATTTTTTTTATTCTAGTCTTAATTGTTGTGGAAAAATATGATTAAGTTAAGACAAACAGATGCAAACTGCTGTGCAAAGTATGGACGGCACTGATTCACTCATAAAGAGATATTTGAGGATAAGTTGCACCAGGAATTTTAGGCAGCACTGAATGACTCTGTCCCTAGTGAAGTTAGAGACATGAAAGTTTACCAGATTGTTGAGAATATGTTTTCCTATCCCATAAACATTTTCATAGAAAAATATTTTGATGTAATCAATTACAATTATGTAATTGATAGCCTACAATGCCTGCAAGCTTTTGCCTAGACTCCATTCCAAATGATTTGTTCTAGGTCTACTTATAGGGTAAATTCCTCCTCAATCAATAATATTTATAATGTTTCAAAATCTATTCCACGTCACATTTGTATTGTATTGATCTGATGACTCTCAATCTGAATAATTTAGGTCATTGTCCAAGTCATCACTGTCTGCATCCATACAAATTGTCAAATTTCGATAAGCGCCTCAGGTTTGTGAAATATCCTTTTCAACTCATTTTACCGCTTTCCACTTTTAATTGCTAGAAATCTGAAGCAAAACCTCTACTTGGAACTAATCGATGGGTTGGCGAAAACATTATGCTTTGACTTGGAGAAACTTTGATGGACCATTGTTTAGGTCTGGTCACTTTGCTTGTTAGTATACTCATTCGCAGTCCCAAGGAAGCAGTCAGGCATTGCGAGTGTTCTCGTCTACTGTTCGATAGGTGTTAATAACCTGTTAAAAGAAAGGTGAACCTGTACCATACTTTAAACTTATCTCATTGTGAGTTTTTGATGGTCACTCCCGTGTAATCTCCCAGCTTGTTTCTTCAAACTATTGCACATAATTACAAGAATAGTACTGACTTATATCTATTTATATATACTCGCACTCTTTCTCCTTATCACAGGTCCTCAAAAAGAAGAAACCAACTCGTGCTTGTCTGTGAGTGGCAGTGGAGCCACCTTGAAAGTCCTCTTCTGTCGTGAGAAAGAATGTATCTTGATGAAAGATGTCTCTGGGACTGTGCACAACATTTAGCTGGGTCTTTTTCTTGTGAGACTGAACTGATAGTGAATGATATGGCTACTACTTAGGGACAGTACTATATATTGTACCGTTTATGTCTGCTCTGACCTCGGACACAGCATCTCCAATGAAAGGTTTGAAGCAGATTTGTATTCTTGACAATGAAAAACTTTTGCTTTCGCTTGAACTAGTCGAAATAGATAATCTCCTTCTTTGTGCCTTTCCCAACTGTCTGGCAGCAGGTGGATCTGTATTTGATAATGCAGTTGTGATTCATTATGAAAAGATACAGTCAAACTACTCAAGCCCATTTTTACCGCCTACCTTGGGATGAGCATGGAGTTATCGGTAGGCCTACAGTGGGGATGGCAGTACAACAAGGTTTTCATGTCCTCTATTAATTTGTAGCCCCCGACTGCTCGAAGTCAAGGGAACTTGTTTACCAATCACGAGATGAAATAATGAGTTACAGTCAAATCTGCCCTGACGGCCACCTCTATAAGACGGCCACCTGTACAAACGGCCACTTTCCATTTTCCCCTTGCGTTTTTTCTATAAATTTAACTGTGTAAAACGGGCACCTGTCCAACGCGGCAGTGGCAACCATATTTTAACACACAACCCCTATCACACTAAGCAATAACACCTGTCTTAGACGTCCACCTTAGTGACTCCATTACGTTTTGTCATAAATAATTGTGCATTTGACCCTGACATTGTGGGCGAGCCGTCATAATTCAATCACTTGTCGTTGTTGTTAGGTAGTCCCTCCAACCGATCATGTTGCATAGGCCCCTCCCACTGTTGACCAATAGCTACCAATTTTCAGCTCACGATTACATATA